AATAAAATAAAAGTAAAAAAAAAAAAAAAAAAAACAAATTTAAAAAAATTTTTTTTTTTTTTTTTTTTCAACAAAAATTTTGTTCAAAAAATTTTTTTTTTCCCAGTACCATAGAAGGCATGCGCTCGAGGGTGATAAACGAATATTTTTTTTATTGGGCCTTATGTAGGTTAAATTTTAGGCCAAAATATCGTTGTCAGCTTAGCTAGGCTTTACTTGTTTGGGGTGAAAAGAAAAACTTTCTTGTGTTGTAGATTCTAACACTTTACTTTTAGTAAAAAAAAAGGGCACTTCAGGAAAAAGGGGGGTTCATTCGAACCTTACGAACCCCCCTGGCTACGGGCTTGAATTGATAATGATGACTTACTGTATCAGGTTGTAAATGATGACAGTGATGATCTTTATAACATCAGAACAAACAACTTTCTGAGTTGATGTTGGTGATTGATGACAACAACAATGATCAAATTAGTGATGATAATGATAATGATGATGATGACAATGATGATAATGATCAGATTAATGATGAAATTATGATGACGTTAATGTCAGATTGATAATGATGATGGTGATGATAATGATGATGACCATTGACAATAATGAACTTTATGTCATCAGACCAAACAGTTTCAACTGAGTTATACTGAGTTACATCACCTTACAATGTTTATTTAAATATCTCATTTCTGAAACAGGTGTTTCTATGTTACAACTGAAATTCACATGACATAGTTTAATGGTTTCATAACACTTCTCAATATTACAGAATCCACAACAAAGTTGACCTTTTGGGAAGTTCATCTGACTGAGAAACAATCATCCATTTAATCCAGTAATAAAATACCAGCTTAGGAATTAGCTGATCAAAACAAAATTTGATCAAATTTAAACAGAGTTTCCTTGTAACAAATCTACCAAATCATCTCCCAAGAGTCAACTGACTGTTAAAAAAATATTTCATTACCATAAAGTAGTTATAGCAATAGACAAAAAGCTGCTTAAATTAAGTCAAAGAACACAATATATGTATTTTCAATTTGATTATGTATAAATACAGACTCATCAAAAGTTATACAATAAACAAATGCTACTTTAAAATGTGTGACGTCACATGTACATGTACAGCAGGGTTATGAATTGCTGATCTTTTAAGTGATGTCATCAATACAAAAAATCATCAAGTATCACATTACTTAATTCACTGCTTACTATACAGTATCACATGCTTATACAGTATCACATGCAACAGAAAAAAAAACATCAGCATCTATTCCTCCACATGTGATATCATTACTGTATTCATATTTGTGAGATGTTAATTCAGCCAAAATTATAATGCTGTTTCACCTCCCTAAATGTGATGTCACATTTTTTTTGTGTGATAGGGATGAATACTGCTAGAATTAGTTTTATCACATCAATTGACTGATTAATTATCCCCCTCCCCTCCCTCCCACCCATCTAGATGTGTATAAGAGACAGGTTTATCTATGTATAAGCAAGAAAGGGAACAACAGACACTAACTAAAATTGCATAATGTTTTGATACTACAACAATAATGACAAAATGACATTCATGAATTAATTATCATAACCACTCATTATGTCATTGTGTTTTTGTGTGGGTGCCATCTCACCTGTTTGTGGCATTCACTGGTATTGGTGGTTGTTTTCAAGATTGAATTTTGATTTCATCACAAAGTTGGAAGGGCTCCCACATTCCAGACAGTTCATTTCCCTGCTAAGTAGCTCAACTCCCAACAGAATCACACAATAACAGATTCTCATCTCATCAAGAGTTGGCATTAATTGCAACTTGGATTTTAGAGATTCAAAACAATCTTACTAACTATACACCAGATACAGTATCAAACATCTGAATAATTACTGTACCTGGATTTTTTTGGGACTATAATCAGGGTTGGTGGTCGGAGGCATTGTGACTGCCCCAGAGGCATTTTGGGGGAAAAAATTCAAGAAATAAAGTTGTTGTGCTATATATTGGAGAGATGACGTTTGGGCTGGAGGCATTTTATTGAAACAATTTTCATTATAGGAGCATGGAGGAAAGAATCCTCCATGGTAGGCGACACAAACATTTTTTTTCCCCAGGCCTGACTATAATATGCTGAAAGGTCATTGTTTGTCAAAAAACATGGGCCTAAGACGACTGAAAAGCGGAGTTTTCCTTCTTTCGTTCTGCCGGGTAAAGTCAATTACTTTAGGCGACGTTTGTAGACTAACCAACTCGTACCAACGTTGCATGTCGCGATGCTGGAGTATTACTATTTAGCGTTTTTACAATATTTCTAGGTTTCCTATCTCTACGTTTAATCGGCCCATGTCTCAGCCACAATATTTTGAGGCCAATATTATTAACGAACCCAGTTAAACTTATTTACTAGCTTATTTCAGCGTGCTAATTATTACATTTAGGCGACGCTTGTTGTAGACTGGCATACCCAGTACGAGAACCAGTCAATTCGAGCGGATACCACTTCGAGCGAAGGCCAATTCGAGCGGAATTTTTTTCAAGCGGAGGCTAGTTTGAGCGGAAGAAGATCCACTTATGCGAACAACCTGTGCGAGTTATATACAAATTACTTCAAAACTTCCTATTTTTTAGCTAAAAATTTGACATTTTCAAAGAGGAAGGGGACACACAACAGTTCCAGAATAGATAAGTGAATAGCATTAACTCAATTACAAATATAATTTGAGCTAAAAATTTGACATTTTCAAAGGGGAAGGGGGAACACAACAGTTCCAGAATAGATAAGTGAGTAGCATAACTCAATTACAAATATAATTTGCTTTTTTAAATTCAGAACATCAACCAGTGGTGGATCTGGGGAAGGGGGAGGGAGGGGTGGTGAATAGGGTGGCTAGCTACCCCACTTTGTTTACCGTGAAAAAAATAATGGTCACTCATCTTGTGTGTGCGCTTCTCGTGCACTCTAGTAAAACATACACTTTCTTCTTTTTCAAGATGAAAAGTGCGCAATTCTATTATAGTTTTAACTTGTTAGTGGCCATCTTGGTAGTCGGAGTTGCCAAGACTGTGATTCAAACATGGAGTAATTATCAAAAAGTACTAAAAACCTTTCAGAACCTATAGTAATCAGAGCATTTTTTTGCATTTAAAACAAACAAATACAAGAATACAGCGACGATAAATTCGCCCTTGTTATAGTTCGCACTAAATGCATCCGCTCGAACTGGCATCCGCTCGACGGCATTTGTTCATTATTATTTTTTAATCTAAAACAAAGCATGTTAACTTTTGAATTTAATTAGGCCTACAGTAAGTCTATACTTCATCTGTTTTGTTGCATTCCTCAAATTCTGGCCTAGGCCTACCTGGGCCTAGCCTAAAAAAATCGCGTCAGCTAGCCTTGGGCCTAGGCCTGCTCGACTTAGGCCTTTTGCTTTTTAAGAGCTTTCACGAATATGGCGTGAAATATATGCCACCCCCTCCCCCAGAAAACGGGGGTGTGGCACCCCCTCCCCGGAAAAACGCGAAATGATCGCCGACCGGCACTCCAAAAAGCTGGTGACATCCTTGCATCCCTATGTTTGTCATCTAGCACATTTACAATGCACTGTGGTAGGTTAATAGAACATTATGCAGCCCATGAAATTAGAAAAAAAATTAGGTTTGCCGACCTTAAATTCTCCGAGGTCGGCAGCCTCAGCAATTTTTTACTACCTAGGCCTATATAGTATAAACTACAATTTTTCCAAACACTCGACCTTACATCGTCATCTACAGATTGTTAATTTCTCTATTAATCAATTTATTGCTGGTGAAAGAATGGTCGTACTGTACTTGTATTAATTTAATAGTGTAGTATAATACATATGTGTTACATAAGAAAATCGCCGAATAAATTTTGTTTTAGCGTCATTTTTATTTATATTTGACATGGGAAATATCACTTTCATAAAAGCTACAATTTTATCATCATAGGCTGCTTCAAAACTGCCCATGCATGTCCGTGCGCATGCCCAGAATGATCTATCAGGGATTTTCCACACATGTACAGTACTTGTTAGTAGTGAAGTCACGAAGCGATCGTGATTGCGTTTAAACGGACGGTAGGATTAGGCCTACTATATGTTGAATTTTGTTGTTTTTAGATAATAAACAACATTTTAAATATGATAATACTGTAAAATGAAGACAAATAATAGATTTAGATAAGCATTACGACTGTCTCTTATACACATCTAGATGTGTATAAGAGACAGACTGTATAATCAGGGTTGGTGGTCGGAGGCATCGTGACTGCCCGGAGGCATTTTGGGGGAAAACATTCAAGAAATAAAGTTGTTGTGCTATATATTGGAGAGACGATGTTTGGTGCTGGAGGCATTTTATTGAAACAATTTTCATTGTAGGAGCATGGAGGAAAGAATCCTCCATGGTAGGCGACACAAACATTTTTTTCCCCAGGCCTGACTATAATATGCCTACCTTTGCTATCACCTGTATGGGGCTTGGTGGGTTAGCAATTCAATTCTACCATCTAAATACTAACAATCACCAACTCTACATTCATTAACACAGCCCATGAAATTAGGAAAAAATTAGGTCGGCAAAAATTTGCTGACCTTAAATTCTCCCGAGGTCGGCAGCAATTTTTTACTACCTACGCCTATATAGTATAAACTATGATTTTTCCAAATGCTTGACCTTACTTCGTCATCTACAGATTGTGATTTTGTTAATTTCTCTATTAAATCATTGCTGATGAAAGAATGGTCGTACTTGTAATAATTTAATTGCTGCGAAGCAGCCAATTCATATTCTTGACAGCAATTTGACCTCTGAAAGGTCATTGTTTGTCAAAAAACATGGGCCTAAGATGACTGAAAAGCGGAGTTTCCTTCTTTCGTTCTGCCGGGTAAAATCAATTACTTTAGGCGACGTTTGTAGACTAACCAACTCGTACCAACGTCACATGTCGCGACGCTGGAGTATTACTATTCAGCGTTTTTACTACATTTCTAGGTTTCCTATTTCTACGTTTAATCGGCCCATGTCTCAGCCACAATATTTTGAGGCCAGTATTATTAACGAACCCAGTTAAACTTATTTACTAGCCTATTTCAGCGTGCTAATTATTACATTTAGGCGACGCTTGTTGTAGACTGGCATACCCGGTACGAGAACCAGTCAATTTGAGCGGATACCACTTCGAGCGAAGGCCAATTCGAGCGAATTTTTTTCGAGCGGAGGCTTGTTTGAGCGGAAGAAGATCCACTTGTGGGAACAATAACCTGTGCGAGTTATATACAAATTACTTCAAAACTTCAAATTTTTTAGCTAAAAATTTGACATTTTCAAAGAGGAAGGGGACATACAATAGTTCCAGAATAGATAAGTGAGTAGCAACTCAATTACAAATATAATTTGAGCTAAAAATTTGACATTTTCAAAGGGGAAGGGGAAACACAACAGTTCCAGAATAGATAAGTGAGTAGCATAACTCAATTACAAATATAATTTGCTTTTTTAAATTCAGAACATCAACCAGTGGTGGATCTGGGGAAGGGGAGGGAGGGGTGGTGAATAGGGTGGCTAGCTACCCCACTTTGTTTACCGTGAAAAAAATAATGGTCACTCGTCTTGTGTGTGCGCTTCTCGTGCACTCTAGTAAAACATACACTTTCTTCTTTTTTAAGATGAAAAGTGCGCAATTCTATTATAGTTTATAACTTGTTAGCGGCCATCTTGGTAGTTGGAGTTGCCAAGACTGTGATTCAAACATGGAGTAATTATCAAAAAGTACTAAAAACCTTTCAGAACCTTAGTAATCACAGCATTTTTTTGCATTTAAAACAAACAAATACAAGAATACGGCGACGATAAATTAGCCCTTGTTATAGTTCGCACTAAATGCATCCGCTCGAACTGACATCCGCTCAAATTGACTGGCATCCCACGGTACCAACGCTGTTCTAATATAGACAATGGGTCGTGTCTCATATTATTTGTTATATTTTTATTATTCATTATTTTCACTTGACTCGCATAAATAATTTTCTTCGAAGAACATTTATATGCAGTTGTAATTTGCAGCACTTCACTTGCAATTTGCAATATCTAGTGTAGTAGTGTAGTATAATACATATGTTTTACATAAGAAAATCGCCGAATAAATTTCATTTTAGCGTTCGTTTTATAGTTATCTTTGGCATGGGAAATATCACTTTCGTAAAAGCTACGATATTATCATCATAGGCTGCTTCAAAACTGCCCATGCATGTCCGTGCGCATGCCCAGAATGATCTATCAGGGATTTTCCACACATGTACAGTACTTGTTAGTAGTGAAGTCACGAAGCGATCGTGATTGCGTTTAAACGGACGGTAGGATTAGGCCTACTATATGTTGAATTTTGTTGTTTTTAGATAATAAACAACATTTTAAATATGATAATAATACTGTAAAATGAAGACAAATAATAGATTTAGATAAGCATTACGATCTACGCGGCCCACGTGGCAATTGGGCGATGTTGTAGGCCTTGGCTGGCTAGCGTCATTCCTACCTAGGCCCTAGCCTACGAAATGACTAGGCGAGAAAGACAAGACGATTGTACACAAATCGTACGTACTGCATGCCTATTAGAAATAGTTATTGTACAAACAAATCTATTTTATGAACCACCAATTTCCTTGGTTTGACGACGTACATGGAATTTAGTGTCTACTATAGCCTGTTTCAGTCAAAGTCTTTGAATTTTCAAGCAGTTTTTGAAGCAAATAAATCTAGGCCTAGGTCAGCAAAAAAATGCCGTCCTGTAGCAATTCTGGCTCGGCAATATGGTCGGCAATTGCAGATTGCTGACGTGAAATTCGTAGGCTAACATATATTTAATTCAAAAGGGAAGATAGATCTGACCAAATATAAAAATATATTTAAAACAATCTTCATTAAAAACAATCTTTTGTGTGCACGCCGTGGCATTGCGTTCACTATAGAATGACTTCAGCCGATGACCGTTAGGAGTACCCGGCTTAAAATTAACTACTTTCACGAACGTGTTTAAAACTATACAGTACTGTAGGCTACTTCTTTTAAGCTCCTGTATAATTCAATGTTATTTTGATGATAATATGGACACAGCCAAATTATGTGGCAAATATTATTTGCATTTGTTTTGACACAGGTCCCAATTCTCCCAGAAATCGGGACAGCTTCTCGAACTCCACAAGCAGGGAAGAATCATGTTTTTACCGTTTAATTATATTGAAGTCAGTTTTGAAAGGTACAGTATGACCATGCGCAGAAAACACTAAAGAGCTGACTGGAAATGACAGACAAGTGAAAGGCAGGACAATCATGACAAACAGGACACATTAGCCAGCATGACAGAAAAAAGGTGATAAGACAGGATTGAGACTAGTTATTATAGACCAGGTGGAAAATGAACAAGTGGATTTTCAACAGTTTACAAATTGTAAAAACTGTTGACTTTAATACTTACCACGATATTTTACAATTTTGTTTGGTTCATTCTCTTCATCATTACCAGTTGGGTGTGATTGTATAGGTATGCTGCCAAAAGAAAAAAAGAAAAAAAACATTAAAAATTAATGGAACTTTGTTTTTCATTAAGCTTTCCATCCTATTCCTATCCTCAATTGAGATTTTTTATACCATGTTTAGTATTAAAACTAAATGTTTGAAAGGGCAATTAAGGAGGAAAAGAGAGAGAGAGAAAAAAAATTTTCAGCTTTTTTGTAGCACCCAATGATGGGTAACAATTGAGATATCAATTACTTATCGACTTGATTGGTGAGCTTTCACACACGATTGTGAATTGTAATTGGGTGCGAATTGCTATCGCAATTGCAACCGATCGCAATGTGATGCTGGTCTGAGCAAGGAGGTTAAAATAATTATTTTAACCTCCTTGGTCTGAGTATGATTTCTGGTGTAGGCCTGTATTTTTTCACCAACAGATCTATCAAAAAAAATTTTAAACAAAGATCAAGCCTTAAGTTTTGTCATCTCTACACAAAGAAATTAACAATTGATCTTATTTTGCATTTTTAAAAAAATGTAAATAGGAATTACCAAATTCAGTTTAAGTACAGTACATAATTTGTATCATTTCAAAATAAATTTATGATGCCAAGGCCAGATATTCCAACCCCCGAACATCCAAAAGCGGGACACATCGATCCGGAAAGCGGGACTTTTTGTTCAAAAGCGAGGACAGCATTCTTTGGGACAACTTTATATAGGTCTCCCCCCCAAATTAACAACACTTTTAGAACTGGGATTTTCGTGGCCTTTATCAGAGGTTTGGATAATTGAAAAAATAAATAATCAAAGTAAAAATGAAGGCAGTTGAATGATTGGCAGTTAGGCCAAATAAAAAAAATTACTGTGTTGACCACACTCGACGGACCCAAAATGTTTGAAATTAAGAGTCGGCATTTTTTTTTTTTTTTTACATCTCAAAATATTTTTTTAATGAGCTAAAATGGCTGGAATAGGCCTATCTTGCGACGGTAGGCGATGCAACAGTGTTATGCGATCGTTTCACCCTTCAGTATAGATTTACATATGGCCTTTGTTGTATTTTTGTGCATTTTCTACTTTTTAGGCATAAACAATTTTTGGTAAAAAAATTAAAAAATTAAAAAAAACTTTTCCTACTGACCTACCCATTTTTTTGGATTTTTCCAAAAATGTGGCCAACACAAGAATTTTTTTTATTGGCCTTATTTGAAAATAAAACTGAAGAAACAGAATTCAAAAGTTTCTTTAAAAATTTGATTTAGAAAAATAGAGCGGAAATTTTTTTAAAATTATTAATATATATTTTTTTAAATTTATTTTTTAAAATTTTATTCGGCTTTTACACTGGAAACAATACAAAAATATATATAAATAGAAATTCCAATGAGAGAGCGTATCAACAGGTGCAAGCACCTCTAACACGACACGCTCTCCAAATGTACGAAACCCAACGGCAAATACATAATAATATAAGTCGAAAAGAAAAAAAGAAAAAAGTTACACAGTTCTACATATATGACAAAAACATTTAGTTTAAACATTTTACTTACATATTTGTATACAATATCGACCAAGTATAATAACAATAAAAATAAACACATCGCGTCTTGCAATCCATCTGAGCTCACATGGAGTTTACCGCTGATATTAGTACCTCAGATCGCATGTTTTCAAGCGCTACTGCGTAGCCTCGTCGTCTGTTGGGCCATAGGTTTCAAAGTATCCTCCGGGAATTTAATCTTGGTATTATCATGATTATTTTTTATTTATGAAAGTTGAAAAGCAAGGACAATTTGGGGGTTGGGTGGGACAGCAGGACACGACTTCCAAAAACGGGACAATCCCGCCGAAAGCAGGACAGTTGGAAGCAAGGCTCATCCAGCCCAAAAGATTAGCACAAAAGAAACCCCTATCCGCAATTCTGAAGTGAGATTGAAATAAAAGCACTGGTGGCACTTTATAAAGACTAACATCAATTATTTATTACACAAGCCTTCGCCAGCAGTCTATGCTGGCTTTATCAGAAGTCTACAGTTTTTTTATTTTATACGTCTACCAGACTAACACAGCTCCATCTACTACGAAGTGAGATTGTGAATTGCAAATGGGTGGGATTGAGTGTCGCAATTGCTACAACCGATCGCAATGCAATGCTAGTCTGAACAATATCTTTTGTTAAGAATATCTAAACAAAAGAAATTCTATCTATTATATTTTTTCTATTAATTGCAGTGAAATGTTTGCCTCCAGCTGATTTTAGTGAGTTTTCATCTAAGTTACAACCACAAAGTTGAGCAAGGCCATGTGGATATCACCATGTGATATGAGTCATAACATGGTCATAATTACCTCATCCAGATACCTTCACAATGTCAACAAAGCGCATGAATATTCATTTGTATTTTGCAATCAAGCATTGGTTGGTATTGAAATATTGATTGAGTTATTGATCAACAGGTTGGCCATTACACATCTTCTTGTATACTGTTATGAACATCATTGAAGCAGCAGCTATTGCAATTTATAATTCATGGCACTTCAATACCAATAGAAAGTAATCTTTCTCCCCTGCATAGTAAATTCATTCTCTGTATCTGGTTTTTACAAGATTTGCACACCCTTCATGAAATAATTCCTCATCATCTCACTTTTGGGGGTCAGAAAATTTGTGCCAAGGAATTCATAGTTTTTTCAGAAAAATGTCCTGCCTTTTTCTAAGGAAATTTCCATTGCCAAAAATATACCCAACCTTCCTGAAAATTCCAGGCTGCCCTTGAGTGAAATTCTCTGCCCCTGAAAGAAGTTGCTGAGCTCTGGTTTTCAGATTTGAGACCCTTAAATTCCAGAGTTTATTCATTTTCTTGTTTTTGTAGGAAATAATAAATTGTACAGTTTTTTAGGAAATAACTAAGGTTACTTTTTGTTCAAATAATATTCTTTTTTAACAGCACAAATCACTTTCACTTTACTGGCCATTGAATTTTAAACTCAGTGCTAGGAATCCATTGGAAGTAGCGTGGATTACATGATTATAAATAGATAGATAGATACCCAGCTAATAATTTAGGGCTATCAAAGCTGGTGTAGGACCGTTTCTACCGCTAACAAGTTCAGCATCGATGTATTGTATGGATTTTGTATTACATGTCTTTAGTCAATTTGATTCATTGCAAATCCTAAAAGTTTCTTTTTGAGACTGTTTTATTTTTTTTTATGCCTTGAGTTCTTTTTTACAAATTATAGTGTTAAATTTTTCAAATTTACATGATTTTATACCTTGACATCTGTGCAATTTGGGATCGGCCGCTATCACAAGTGTGATTTGTTCACCTGTTGGCCTTTTTCCCGTCACCTGCAACTTTTTACGTCAAATAAATAACAATAAGTAAATTGAATGACTAAGCCGTCGAATAAATAAAAATAAATTGAATGACTAAGTAGGGCCTAAGGAGAGTGAATATATATTTTAATAAAAAAAAAAAAATTACACTTTAATTTCATGATTTTCAAGGATGTTGATTATATCACAGTCGGACTACTCATACACAGTGAATGACCATCATTATATTTAACAAGGGTAATGTTGATTTAACCAGTTTGGCTTAAATATCAATGGTATGCCCAAAACTATAACTAAACACTTGTATACAGTGGCCTAAGTTTTTGAGTTTTTGCGTACATGGTTCTCTCTCCTCACACAAGCACATATGATATCTATCTGATACTAGGCCTAGGCTAAAGCCGGTTATCCACTAGCTGAATTTATCACCACAAATCAAAAGCGTTAAATGTACACATGCACAGTTTAACTCTTTATGAGCAAGCCCTTCACCAAATTGTTCGCTTCTTTTTCTTGTGGTATTTTGTTTCAGCGAATTTTGGAGTTTGAACACCTTTGAACACTACCTTTTGTGAAGCAAATTATTTAATACTGTGCAGCGAATCAGAGCTAGAGTAAAGATTTAATTGAATCGATAAATGTATGTCATCATTGCACATCAACAAGTCATTAGAAACATAGCACCTCAATATTTGTAAAAAAAATGCGTATTGCAAACTTTTTTCGCTCATGTAGGCCTAACTAGTGGAAAATACCAACGCGATGCACTCATACAAAATTGTAGTATTTCACGGCATAACTTTGTGTGTCGCGCAAATAAATTCGCCTAGTGTTTGTATACAATGCATCCTACATTGCGACATATTATTACTTAGAGAGGTAGCCAGACTAGGCTAGGGCCCAACCGTCAAGAAGGTATAACAAAAATAGAACAGTTTATTATTATAATTTTATACATTCATGTTTTTTAGGCCTAACAAAAATCTTTATTTAAATAGGAGGATCAATTACCAAATATACAGGTCGTACCCACCTTGCAGATGTAGATTTCTGATTGCAAACACGATTTATATAACTTGACACATGTATCCATCCTGCTAGATGGCGTATCCATTCACCGTTAATAACATCTTCAGAAAACGCCACAGTTTTCTCGCTCATCATTGTTGTTGCTACAATGCTAGCTCCCTCCTAGCTAGCGGCTAGCAGTGTGTGGAGGTCTAGCCTATAAAACAAACCTGTCAAACGAGAGGAACGGTTCTACACTACTATAAAACACAGAGTTTACTCAATAAACCAAGTCCACAGAATTCAATTTTTAGCACTTGATAATTTCAAATATTACAGTATTTCGAAATTGCTTCATCAACTGAGGATACCTAAGCCTAGCCTCTATCTGAACGTGACCAAGACTGAAAACACAACACAACACTTGATTCGGAACGTAAACAATGAAATACGCATGCGCAATAAATGATGTCATTTATCTGATGATGATGATGAATCAGTTTTGGCAAAACACTCCGAATCGATCAAAGATTGCATAACTTTGGCTTGGCAGAAAATATATTAAGAAATTTTCTCCATGTGTATAGGCAGTGCAGCCAGTGCAACCAGGTGCAACGTACTGGGGCTAGGGGATTTTAGGGGCGGAACGTGGGGGGGGGGGCACACCTCTTTTTTGCAGAAAATACAGTGAGTATATAATGTCTAATGCAGATTTTGTATGATCGGAAAGAAATGCTAGTTTCCCCCCTCCCCCTTTTCCCATTTTATGCTGGGTCCCCCACTTTGAAAAAAGTTCCGCCGGCCTTGTCGTTGTTGCTATGTGTTCTTTTGCTTTATTTCAGATGTTGCTTGAGGTTTCCAGTAACGGATTCAAGCCCCACTCCCTCCCCAAAATTTTCCAAAAATGGAAAAAAAATAACATTTGGTGGTCATGTTCCTTATTCGAAAAAATAATACTTTATTGTAACGGATTAAGGTAGCTATTTCAGCAAGTTTAAAATTTAGTAAGATTTAATACAGATACAAAACAGTAATTTTCATCTTCCGACTTGGGGACAAAGGTAAAATACGATGCAAATGCAATAATTTCATGTTGGACTGAAAAGAGACGAACGACAATAGAAAAATACTTTCTCCCGCAAGTCAACTACAACCTCTGTCTCTTATACACATCTAGATGTGTATAAGAGACAGGTCGGACTTATGTCGACTATCACCACAAAATGAGCTATGTTGTTAAAATTTTTCAATTATCATATTATGATAAAAATCATACCAAATGAGAGTCTATAAATATTTGCTTAATAATCAATAGAAACAAACTTTTAAAACGTTAATTATGTAAATTCAGTTTAAAAAAAAGGGGAGGGCTCATGGTGTCGTCGGTGGGGAAGGTGACACCCTCTTTTCAAAGGGAGGGGGACATCATATTTGCCTCCCCCCTGCTAGTTTTCAACAAGTTTCTATAGTTAAAACCCTCACTTTTCAAAGTGAGTAGAAAGAGCAACAATTATGCATGACTGTCATGAATTTGTCTGTTCACTGTGCTCGAGTTTCCAAGTGCGGTTGCGTAGTATTCGGAAACAAAACCGAGTAGAAACTCAACTGCAGTGACAGATTCAGGGATGGGCGAGGGGAAGCCGACCCCCCACCCAGACACACACACAATTTTTCAAAATAAAAAAAATTGAGAAAGAAAGAAAATCTTACTTAAATTTTGAGTCCAAGTGTGCCAGTTTCCGGCCATCTAGAGGTGCCATAATCATAAATATTCTTACCTCAGCCCCAACCGTGGTTCTGAGGTATAGACCCTCTCTGGGACACTTCTATTTCAAATTCTTGGATTTCCACACCACTTTCAACCACGGATCGACGCCCTTGGTAGGGCTACTTGCCACCATAAAAAGTCTTAACATGAGTTATAATATATAAAAAAGTAGGCCTAATAAACCAAGTTTAATATTAAAATTAAATTATATACACAGATTTTACACACAATTAGGCCTACTATGAACAAATTTATAAAACTACATAAACTACATAACAATAAAGCATACCGTACATGAGCCGAATAAAAATAACTTGCCTTAAGCCAGGCTCCGAGGGGGGGGGGGGGGAATCAATCTTGATATCGTTTGTACCACTGATATTTCTAAGATACAAAAATGGAGTTTTTGACGAAAAATGTTCGAAAACTGGGGGAAAAGGGGTGTAACCACCAGTTTTTTCACTTTTATTCTCCAAGGTTTTAAATTTTCAGTTTCGTATCTCATTAACATATTTTGTGTCTTTGAGAAATCAGTTACATATAGCCTAATTTGTTGGGGGTTTTTTTTGGGCCGACACCGGCTCTAAGAAAATTATGAGAGAACAGTTTGAGGATCCACGTTTCGAGATCAGAAGGAAGAGGGGACTAAGACAGATCGAGAGACAACACCATAGGGGATCTGGAGACGCCCCGGGAAATTGTTGTTTTCAAACGCCAGGAAATAGCTTCTGAAGCGTTTTGGGCGATCAATAATGTTTTATTTTTTTTTAAACTTTCCAATCCGACCTTGCACAATAAAACATCGATGTGTATACGCATATAATATGAAACCATATTGAAAATAAGATCTATTGATCTGTAATATTAATTTGTATTTATCTACTTCGTTTAATAATGTTTTTGTGTATTCAATAATTTGTAACTAGGCCCTATACATTTTATTTGTAAATATATAATTATATTAATGTCTTTTTGCCAATTAAGTTCATATTTTCTTTAAAACATATTTTTGTAAATGCAATGATTTTAACCTTTGACTACTTTGTATCGTATTCTTTATTTATACCTGAATAAAATAAATCAAAGTAAAAATAAATATGAGCTATTCAATGTGTGTAACGTATTAGAAAACCTTTTTAAAGACCTACTGTTGTTTCCGGAAATTCTCGATAAACCATAACTGTTGTTAAAACAACAGTTATGGTTTATTGCATACAGGACATGTTAAGTAGACTAGGTCTCTCAATAAATTTTAAATATACTGTACATGGGAAATCTGAATTTAGCTTACAGTTGGATTATTCGACAATCCACATAATAATGAAAATACGGATAGATATTTGATTGATTGATTAGTGATTTAAACTTTCTTTTATGGGGGTAGCTTTTAAAGCGAGGCTGACTCAAAAGATAACAACAAATACAAAACATACACAACGGTAACACGAGTAAAATATAGACACTGCACAATGATAATGATTTTGAAATGTGTTATACTGACCCTTCGGAAATACTGTATGGTTCCATTATTAGCGCTACCACTGTTAATTTAGACCATAGCAAAGAAAGACCAACTTGGCTACAGTCATAAATGGACATTAACCTTTAAATGAGCTATTCAAAAACGTTTTTAATATTTTAGTTTAATTAATTAAATTGACTGGACAGCAGATCAAAGCGACTGTTCTTTGAATTTGATGCAATGCAAGGCTACCCGTGGTACCGGGAAAAGAAGGTGAAAGGGTGAAAGTCAGAGTTAGTAGCGCGCCCTCTGTTGGCTGGTCTTGTTTACACACTTTTTTACCAAGCAAATAATTATTAGATGAGCGCACCTTTGGGGGTAGGGAGCGGTAGGTAGCGTTGTAGGCCGAGGCCGACAGACAGCCTATCTCAGTGTCAGCCAACAAGAAGGCCTGATACTAGTCAACTTGTATAATGAATATACCATGTACAATGTAATGGGGTCGTCTTGACATTATTATACTGATTTAAATAATTGTTTATGCAGAAAACAATTCGTAAGATGTTACAAACCAAGGTGAGTGGAGTACGGCCTAGGCCTAGGTCATGAAAATGAATGTTTATAATATTAATAATCGACTGACTGGGCCTAGGCTGGGCCCTAGGCCTAGGCTTGCTTCTTAGTTTTAGGCCGAGGCCTAGGCCTAGACAGAGGCAGCATCTTTCTGCTGCTTCAAGAAAAAGTTCATTGGGGTTTATGGCCATTAAAAGAACGAAGAGACCGAGGAGATATGATCGAAGTTTTTAAGATAATTCATGGTTTTGAAAACATTGATTATAGTTTTTTTACACTTTCACATACATACTCTACAAAGATTACATAGGGCCTACTCGTGCCGTGGTCATACTTATAAGATTCTTAAACCAAGACACAACACTACATTTCGAGACTCCTTTTTCGACACTAGAGCCATTGATAAATGGCACTGTCTACCCGAGCATGTTGTTGTGGTAGTATCTCATTAAATCAATTCAAAGCAAACTATGACCGACACATTCAAAACTTGAGAGGAGGAAATTTTTACGAGTACCAACTCCCTGCCTCCTTACAATCACTAAGGTAAGAATCACTAAGGTAAGAATGTCCTAGGCCTAATGATAATGTGCGTTTTTGACTTGTGTGTAAAGCTACGTTCACATCAAGCCCGGATCGTGAGCTTGTTGCTGATTGGTCCAAGAAAAAAAAAAATGTACAATTTCAGGATACAAATAGCTTTCAGATCCATCGGTCCGAATCCGAAGTCCGGATTGGAAATCATACAAATTTGATGTGAACAGTCCTATTATTTACCACTGAACCCATTTTTCACAATTTTTTCTCCAGGCTCCGGATCGGAATCCGGGCTTGATGCCGTAAACGTAGCTTTACTGTGTAGAGTAGCTAGTAGTATTAGCCTAGTAAGCTTGTCACCCCAAAATTTGTCTGTGCCAAAAAAGGTCCGGCCAACAGATTTTGGCTGCCAAAATCGGTACGCAGAACTGCTTTTGGCTTCTAAAATTGGTACAAATGGTCGATTTTAACCTCTAAAACCAGTCCCCTCTTGGATTGGTCTGTATCGGTCTGAACTCATCTGGTTGTTTCTCCCGTGGAGTGGAGGAAAATAATTCATCCCACACTTCTCCCACACTTGCAAAATCTTTTGCAGCGGCAGAATGCTTCGTATTAAGCTTTTGTGGACGTGTTTTATCAAACCCACCTGATAATGCATTTTCTAGGCCTATGAGATACACAGTACAGCATGCATCATTTTCGGCGGCCGTGGTTAGGAAAAATTTGGACCTAAAATGAAACACAAAACTGATTTATTAGTTTTAGATATTCTGGATTATTAAGTGGGATATATTAGAGTAGATCATACAATTTGTCATTAGATGTTCTATTACATGAACATAAAGTGGGTCAGTAATTTCTTGGAATTTAATGCTCATTTCGTCGCGGCGTTAATGTTCCCCGCGTTAATTAAGCAGGCACACACATAATTTGTTTTTATTTTCTGAAAGATACAGAAATATTTATTGCTTCTGCTTCAAAATTAATGTTCTCAATTTTTTCTCCGTATTGTAATTCCTTTTCAAAATTTATTTCTGATGACAGAGTAAACAGTATTTATTACTTCTGCTTAAAAATTAGTTGGTTTTCTTTGAAAATCATATTGTGTCCATTCTCTTTTTTATAGACCAAATTTTTAAAAGAAACGTTTAGGATTACACATTTATGTAATTGAATGACATTTATGGCATTGTGTGTGCCTTTTGTTGTCATTCTTTTAAATTTAAAAATAGAAGAGATATTTCATATTACTCTGGTCCATTTTATCTAAAAGAAATTTGTCACTCGCTGTACATTTATTGTCAATAATTAGCCAAGCAATGAGCATGTAAAGCCTGGGTATAGTTTAGGCCTAACATAATTATGTATAAAATTTATTTTAAAAAATTTAAGAACCTAACAATAGATGAATGTAATTTCTTTTTAAAAAGGAATTCTTAGAATTAGTTAAAGTGTGTAAAAAATAATAAAAACTGTAAAATATTATTAATATCTGAGTACAAACAAATTATAACTAAAAAAATTGTATATATAAAAATATAAATCACAAAAAGACATTTTTAGAATTGTTATACCAGTCTTTAGCCACTTCCTAATTCTGATTGGATGATGGATTGGATTAGGACAATAACATCCAATAAGAAAATAGGTTTAAGACTGGTATAACAATAGCATCTGCATATTAAACTGATTGGACTGATAAAAGAAAAACACTCAAGTGTAGGCCTATCATACAGTAACAATGTGCACATTGTTCTCAATAATCTATTTTTTTTCTGTTTTTAGGAAATCGTAATCAATCTTGTGTTTTGTTTACTATTATTCTATTCTGTATTCTACATGATAGCAAGTCTAATGCATGGAATCTTTGTGTAAGTACAAGATATCCTTCCCTATACACATCCAGTGTACAATATAAGGAAAAATGTACACTAACATCTTGACATCCTTATATACTTAACATCTCACACAAACAATTGTGAGTGCAAATAGCTGACATTTATTGCCACAAATCCTACTTGTTCACGCGCACAACCAAGCATGCACACAACCAAGTACATAAATGCACACAACTGAGAATGAACAGAACCAGGCTTGTGCACAAACAAGCGTGCATACAACAAAGCATGCACACAAACAAGATGCACACCAAAGCATGCTCACAACCAGGCTTGCACGTAGCATAATATGCATAAAACTAAAGCATCCACACAACCAAACATCCATACAAGTTAGCAGCTAAGCTCAGTCGGCTAGTCTGGTGGTAGCCACTGTGTGTGCGCTGAACCATGGAGATCTCTAGGTCCTGTCTCTTATACACATCTAGATGTGTATAAGAGACAGGTACTGTACTCATTCATTTTTTAACAAAACCCTGTGATTTTAATTTAAATAAATTAGTAATATGTATCAATTTGAATTTTATGGGTTCAATTCCCATTAAATCACTTGTAATTTTATTTTTATTTTTATGATTAAAAAAATGTTTTAGAATCTTCTGACTCAGTCTAATGTTTGATTAATTATTAATGCAGCGGGTCAAATGGTCAGAGACCTACCGTACTGAACAGTACGCATACTATTCTAACAGTATAGCATGTGCTGAGTATGGTAATTTTCCAGTAATAAGAAGGTTCATTAAAAGACCGTAATATCGAACAATATAACACATAAAATACGACTGTAATCTGTTTAAAGAAAAAGTGCTCTCTCGCGGAAATGCTACTAACTGTACCTTTAATTACCTCACAGGAGACTGAAAATAACTAACATGGTCTCAACATACCTACGTAACCGTAATGCTGTCTCTTATACACATCTAGATGTGTATAAGAGACAGGGCTCCCGGTGTACTGGCCAATCACCACCAGAAGGACCCCACTGGAAATAAGTCTTCTTCTAGACTTTCGTGGGCTATCCTTGGTGTTTACACCGAATAAATCCAATACACATAGCATAACATGCACAAATCCGGGCTTGCTAACAACAACATGCAGCATTTTTCTCCGTTGGCAGAAGTGGTCCATAGCGCCAAAGTTTTTGAAAAAAGCTCGGGTGACTTGCTGGTTTGTTGAAGATCTTTGGGTTTATAAATTAATTTATTGTCACGTGCCCATGAGATTACGTTTAGAAATGAGTGATTGTAATTGGTTGCTTTGTTTAAATTCTGATGGCTATAATGTCACCAGCCAGCCATTTTTTAGGACTCTCTTGTTAACTCCCTATGGACATTCTTAGAACCAAGTTTATGGAGCTGCAGACAGCTCACTCTCAACCATCTGACAGCTCACTATGGACCGTTTCTGCTAACAGGAACGTTTGCCTCATGCAAACATGCACACAACAAAGCTTGCACATAAAAGCATGCACACAACAAAGCACGCATACAACTAAGCACGCACATAGCATACTGTAGCATGCACACAACCAAGCTTGCACATAAAAGCATGCACACAATAAAGCATGCATACAACTAAGCACGCACATAGCATACTGTAGCATGCAAACAACCAAGCTTGCACATAAAAGCATGCACACAACAAAGCATGCATACAACTAAGCACGCACATAGCATACTGTAGCATGCACACAACCAGGCTTGCACATATCATAGCATGCAATCAACCAGGCTCGCACACAACCAAACATGCAAACTAGGCTTGCACACAACCAAACATGCACAATACCCAGCTTACACACAAAGGAGCATGAACACAAGCAATCATGCACACAACCAATCATGCACATGACCGTGCTTGGACACAACTGATTGTTCACACAACCACCCCCAAAACATAGTACTACTGTATTGACATTGGTGATATAGCTACCTAGAAGAGCAGGGATTCTACAACATGGTCTTTATGTTTCAGTCATTTGCACTTTAATTTAGATCTACAGTAGTTTTATCCATAACATAATATTTTTATTTCATTGCAGTTTAGATGACTTTGATGGAAAGATACCCTTCAATGTTGACAGTTTTGAAAGCATGTTCAGCAATGCAACATTAACATGGAATGATAAAATATTTCTTGGTAATTTTCCTAAAATCTATTATATTTCATTTTCAGTGATTGTGTAGATGCAGTGGTGTAATAGCTGTGTTCTCATTGGCTAAATCCAGGGGCCCCAGATCTTAAGAAGCCCCGGATATACATCAGTGTTATTCATTTTGCTCAAAACAGGCCTTTAAAAGTTTTAGAGCAGAAAATAAAAAAATTTTAAAAATAAAATAAAACCCATTAAAATGAGTTCTCAAAACGCGAAAGCGAGGTGGACGGGGTTTTCGATCCGAAAATTCAAAATCGGTGTGAATGTACCTTTACGCTTCTGTGTAGATGTAGATGAGGGAGAGGCACAGGAATAATCTGTGATCCACAGTGTAACTGAGTGTGGACAAATTAATTCCCTAAGGGTCACTTCTTGTTGGTAGCTTTCAGTAAGTGCATTCTTTCATATGTTATGGAGACCGATACACAAAGATAATGTCCTAATCTTCACAAAGGATCTTCTGTGATCTTTTGCACATGATCCAGATATGGACCTATAGTGTGTTGTCCTTATTAAGACTGGAACTCTTTGTAAGGAGTGGGAATAAATTTGTGCTAATAATAGTAATACTTATAAAGCTGTAGTGACTGCCCCTTCCGAAAAGTTGAAATTAGAATGCTCCATTTACTTACCTATATTGCCTTCCTATATAACAGAGCTCGCTATCGATATTTATACATGGGGTTGTACAACCCCCACAAAATTGAAAAGTATTGCCAGAATCGTTATTTTTATCTATAATTTAAACAAAATGCCAAAAGAAACATTTCTAAACTGGTACGTCACTTAGGCCCTCCAACATGGCGTTGGAGGCCTCATTTTTTTCTGTACCAGGATTGGCCGATGAGCAATCCAGCTATTATAGTAGAGATCAGTGATCACGACCCACCCAGAAAAAATCCTGGATACACCCCTGTTATATAGTGCCTTTCCTAATCCAAAGTATCAAAATGCTTTAATACAACATTAGTACTGTATTACTGAAAGTTTCATACTAACTATAGTTAATTTTTTAGCTGTACTCCTAGTTATTTTTATTTCTTTAACAGTAACAATATAAATGTTTTTTTTTCCCCTCAGCTGATTTTCTGTCCTTGGAATGCACATGTTTGATAGTTCCTTTGACTTTTGTTGTGCTACTACATGAGAGGCTCTGGGACTTTGCTGCTACTACAGTTCTCATACATGTTATTATAGTGTGTATTGGTAAGTGGATATTAAACATAGGTAGTGCAAAACATGATTTGGTACTATTGCCATCAAAATATATTGCCATGTATAAAAGTTAAGTTGTGCCTAGGACAGTGTCTAAGGACGTACCTAGTAAGGGGGCCACCTAGTAATCTCTTATAATTAATAAAATTATAACCACAGCTTTATGGTACCTTAGGGTTAAATTTTATAGTGAGATTTATAAAACCAGTTTACCAAAAACTATAAAATTGCAAGAGGTCCTACTGCCCTGATTGTTTATGCACACAATGAAACGTTTAAAAAAGTACTACTGTACCACGAGATATGGTCCGCCCTATTAGAATTTGAATAGAGTTTGAAACTCGCCTTTTGAAGGACACCCTCTAGTTTGTGATAGTACTTTTTGAAATAGGATAACATTCCAATGAATCCCCAAGAATCGGACTTCTTGCAGTTTTATACTCTTTGGTTTTACCTAATATTTGGCACTAGTCTAATATTTTACAAAATATGAACTTCAACATGGTGAAAAAAACTCCAAGACATCCAACAATGATGACTGCCAGACTACCCCAAGCAACTAATATGGCTATGGTGGAGTAATTAAATATTCTTTTTGATTTCAGTGAACTTAGCCTTGCCAGTATGGGAATGGTGGGTTTGCATTATTATTGGCACGATCTTTATGATCATCCTTGCGGAGTCTCTCAATGCTTGCTTTCGAAGAAGTTCAAGCAAAGAAACAATTGATAAGAACAAAGAAAAGTGAGATAGCATTCTTAATTGATGGATCAAGAAACATGTGTTTGACAACTGATGTCTTGTGGAGAATGTTGGTTGTTCCTACTGTGCCAGTGTTACCTACCACAGCAACTTTGCCAATGGTACTTTTTCTGACAATGGTTACCAATCAACCATCCAATTCAATTAAGACAGAATTTTATAGGTGATCATTAATATAGAAGATTTTGGATCAGGTCTGCAGATCAGGTATACATTTTATATTGTGGCATTTAAGCCTTGACGTAATTATGGGGAATCGATCCAGGTGAGAGAATTTGTAAGATAATTTGGAAGTTTCTATGAATCTACAGCACAGTACTGTGTATAGAATTGTGTAACGATGGACATGAAAAAAATGTGACGACAACAACTTTTTAATTGTACAGTACTGAGATGAGAAATACCTCTAGCACAGTTGTGCTTTGCCAAAACCGAGTGGCTGGCAGTATGCAATAAAAGGGAATATGGCAAAACTAAGAAAGACCAAAGGAAGGAAAGATGTGTGATTCAAAGATCCAATGATGCAAAGTCATACAGACAAAAACAAATTCATCATTAACAGGTTGCTAGTATAACTTTGGGCCTACTTGAGAGGAAAATTTAGTTAATAAATAAAATTACCATCAATTTAGATAATGTGTTAATTATGTTACTTTGTGCTTTAATAATGGGCATTAATGTATCATGATTATTTCTCTTTAAATTCTTTTACAAAAAAAAAAACAAAAAAAAAAACATGATTTTTCTGTGTGCCCATTTTTTATATATGCAATACAAATAGTTTGAATTCATTTTTGTGACCTCTTTCAACTCTGTTATTTTTTTCTTGTATAATTACTGTTAGTGCAATTTTAAATTTTATATAGAGATAAATTAAATTAAATTACATCAGTTCCCAATACATGGGTTGATATCTGTTTTATATAGGGGTGGTGGCATAGGAGTAGGGGGTGGGCTGAGCGTTGGTAACATTATTAACCGTTAGCTATAATGATGTTGCAAGGGTTGCTACCAATGGATCGGTGTTTGAAGATTATAGAGTACCACAGTCGTGTCATCACAACGCCAGGTGGCACTCTCTGTTGTCAACAGACGTAGGCTACCGTTCATTACGCCTGAATGACTGCATAGGCTTTGTGGAATAGGCATTTTAAAATCTACCATTTTACCATCAAAATGTACTAAAAGCACAAAAGCTTGCATTATATTAGTTATCGAACACACATTTAATCATCAATTAAAATTTACAAAGAAAAAGTAAGATACAACATCTTAATAATTACATTAGAAATTGGGATCAATGGTTTGTCAGTGGAGAAAATGGCGTCGGGTTGAACGCATTTTGCAAAGATAGCAACGGAGTAGTATCATATGGTATCGTGATGTAACACTGTAGTACTCTATGACGGCAATATTGTATTTCTTTGAATACGATATCCAGGCTTTAGTAAAACCAATGATATTTTGGCAATAAATGACAAGAAGAGAATCTTTTAGTCAACTCAGGAGGCGTGTGTGTTATTATTTTCCAATGATCCCAACATGATTATGTCTCAGTAGTCTAAATATTTAAGTAAAGCCATACTCCAATTGTAACATTTTCATTTCATTTATTTGGTATAAAAACAGTCAAGACAGGCAACGATTTAAGGTTGCCATTAACAACCACTTTAATCCATAAGAATGATGGCTTTTTTCTTTTTTCTTCTTGAAAATTAGTGATTTCCCCTTATTTTCTGATGTTCTAACCATCCACAATAAATTTAACCACTAAACCATATATCTGTGTGGATAAATGCTCAACTTGAAATACAGTAGAACACTGGGTTATGCGTTTATTTCTTCAAAATAAATCAATGCAGTTTCCCTCTTACTTGACCCTCCCTTTTAGTTAAGTGGTTGTAGCAAATTCTGCTGGTGACATGTGCTTATTTTGGTAAAACTGAAAAGTGCTGCAATCTTTAAATTTGGATATAGGGGGTTAGACTAAAAATGTTAATCTGCCAATCTAAACAGCACTATTTTGATTGTCCTGTGTTAAATTCCTGCATAGTTACCAACCGTCTCGCACCATGCGGGACGGTCCTGCATTTTAAGGCGATTTTGATGAAACACATTTTTGCAGAACACATGCGTGATCATAAATTTGTCACGCATTTAGCACAAGTCTATGCGTGATAACGAATTGTTACAAATTATTACGAATTCAGGGGAAAATGTATTTAAAATTAGAAGACACTGGTTTTATTAAAAATATAAAAACGGTCATGCAGTAACTTGAGTCATTAGAAAGCTTTCGTTAACTCGTTTGAGAATCAATTCATCAAGAAAATGTATCTTTTTCGATCAAAACAACTCGGCCAACCACGCAATTAGTAGAATGAGGCGCATGCAGTCTCTTGCACGTTTATTGTCACAACCAGCCGTTGATTATGTGACTCAAACCAGACCCCCACCGGGGCCCTGTCCATGGACCCTTGCAGTCCCCAACCCCAGCCAACTGGTGTAGTCACGCATTTCAAATCTCTCAGGTTGGTAACTATGATTCCTGTAATAGCAAAGGTTTTTTTTTCTCATGACAAAAACAACTCCCTATGCCCCATTTAGACTTAGTTTATAAAGCATATCTGAGCCCTATGGAAGAACAGTAGATTTCTACTGAACAGATTACTCATAAGAAGACAATTTTATTTGTTTATGGAATTTTCTTTGGTATTCTTTTCTTTATATATTGTTGTTTGAAAGGTTTAATATGCAAACAAAAACAAAGTTTGTTTACGAAAATTTATTACACAATTCCCATATTCAGATAAGAAAACATTCACATTGTCGAGGATACAAATACTATGGAAAGATTCTCAAAAAAGAATGTATATGTGCAAAGATACTAGAAACACAAGATACAGTTCTCCATAGAAAAAACCTGTTCCACCGAAATGCATGGTGGGAATACTAACAATGGAGCACCGCATACGGCTGGATCTAAAAAACTTATGCCAGCGTTACACAGCTGTGAATAAATAACCTCCTTTCGCGGAAGTAGAAATCATTGCCATTATCCATAAGATACAAGTAGGCATAAATAAAAACAATAAAATGACAGACACCAAAGCGCAGTATCGTATGACTGGACTCTGATTAGTGACAACGTTTTCCTCCATTAATGGAAAAAGAAGGGTGCCGTGTGCATCTGGATATACTTAGCAACGGAAGGGCCCCCGATGTCTGGAACAAGTATAGAAAAATTTTGCATTATAAAAAGAGAAGTGTGCCGCGTACGTCTGGACCAATTTCCGCCTCATTTTTTCTATGCGAGTGCTCTATCTTGTATTTCTAGTATCTTTGATATGTGCCAGAAAAAAAAAATGCATCAATCAATAACCAGTATTTTATTGGCAGGAGTAATGGGGCACAAAGAAGAAAAATAAAATTTACAGTTAAAACCAATCATTTGCTGGTGCTGTACTCTGTATTCTGGTTGTACTAAAATTTGAGTTTGTAGTTGCAACACAGAAATGGTTAAATCAGATGTGTGATTAAAATTGCTAGCCAGAAAATCATGGCAACAAACCTATGTAGAGGCCTTGGTAGTAGAACATGCAAGTATTTTCAAGGGGGAAGAGAAATGGGGTGTTACTGTAGAGAAACAGATCATGATATCGATTTAGTGTACGTCAAATATAAAATACAGTAATGTTCTTCAGACAACATGATGAAATAAACAGACTGGACCACTTGGCATGTACTTCCACAATTCATACTTTAATTTGGCACGGTATTAATTTTTTCTTTTACATTGCATGAACATGTAATTGAGTTACACAATCATATTTCTAGCTTAAAAGGCCGAAAATTTGATACGCCTGAATAAATAAAGCTTCCTAGGCACAATTTATCCAGTTTTCCAACTTGTTCAATAAACTGCTGATTGAGTTTCATTAATCAATTAAAAGGACCACAAAACTAACTGCCATTTCCAAATGTTATTTACAGCAGTTTCGACTGGTGTTCAAATAACTGCTAATTGAGTTTCATTAATCAATTAAAAGGACCACAAAACTAACTGCCATTTCCAAATGTTATTTACAGCAGTTTCGACTGGTGTTAACCTGTGTGTGCACACTGAACAACAGCAGGCTTCAATTCCGTCAATCTGCTCTCCTTGAAAATTAAGGTTATAGCAGTCCTTTGAAAGAAACATGTTATAGAATGCAATACACTCTTCTGAAGTAAGGGGATTTCAATCAAAATCCCCAACAGGGTTGGTGTTAAGCACAGCTGTTGTGGTCCCCCCAAAATTATCTATCATTAGCCTTTACAGTTCATTAGAACAACCAGATGAAAATATGTGTGTTATTGATAACATATATAGTTCCTGTATTAGGAGCATTTTTAGGAAAAACATTACTATTCCAACATCCATATTGCAAACAGTGGCCCACAGTAGCACAATGTCCATAAGCCTATAACAAACACAGTGGAGTAACTTCATTATCAATACAATCCTGATGCTTAATCACTACCCAATAATATCTCATACACATGGTCCATGACAGGCACTATGTAGCCTTACTGTTTCAGTGGAAAATGCTCATACTAGGCCTATAAATTTCAGTGGCCCAATTTCCAGGCTCATGTATACCTCACAATGGCAATAATACAATGAATGCCTATCTTTATCTAAAATATGAATTGGTCAATTTATCAATGTGAATTGGTCAATTGCAAACAGATGTTAAGATCAATTATAAAAGTAAAACACAACTATACTATTTAATCTAACAATCCAAAATATTTATCAGTTTTGTTTTAATTCAGTAATACATCTACATGGCCATCTATATTAAGATTTATCAGATTAATTTTTTTCATCATATTTATTTCTGGTATACTCTCAAAAAAGCTGTTATATTATTTTAAAAATTTATAAGGGCATAATTTAGAAATTTAAGTAGTCAATTAATAAATACATTTAAAAGATACATTTGACATTATAAAATTTAATATAAATTACCAACTGATTGAGTATTTGAAATGTAAACATGTATACAAAATGGATTTAAATACAAGAACTCATATCATAGACAGTTATTAAAAAAAAAATTAAGTTATTAATTACAATACATTAACAGTTTGATTAGATATTTTCGAGTCACTGAGAAAAAAAAATGAAAGAATGCACTAAACCCTAATGAAGATATTAATATGCATTTCATGAAAGAAAGAACAATGAAGAATTGTTTATTAATAGTTATTGTTACTATATGATATAAAAAATGATTAATATTTGCTATAGAGAAATGATTCATAAATTTCATAACACATTAAAATAATACTGAAATAATTTATCATATTTGTAGGAGAATACAGAGTAATTCAAATATACTAATACTGCTAAGAACAAGTAAGTTTCTCAAATTAACATTATTAGAAGGACCGTGTCAGAATGAATTGCTCAATATCATGTTATTACAACTTGCAATGAACTTCATTTCAAACATCAAAGTTCTCTCTGATCATCAATTTACACATTAATGTCAGAGACCAGTACCTTTGACAGTAATGTTGTTATTATAAACATTTTAAAGAATTAGCAACAGTAAAAGAATATTTGACTAATATAACTCAGAGAAAATTACTTCAAGTAAACCAACACTCACTGATATTTTGTTCATGAGTATTGTTTTACTTGAAGAAGTTTTCTTTATGGAACTTATATATTGGAAACCAGATGAAACTATCTAGCTATTGTCACGCATGTCTAAATTTTTGCAAGGGATTCAATGTAATGCGATCACACAGCTTCCCTGCCATGCACGCTAATGCCACCTACATCACTACAGTTATGCGGCTCAAAGAAAATTAACCTACTTCCATTTGTAGTTGATTTTTGTCTTTGCTATGAAGCATATTGAAAAACTGTCCATAAGACAGTTAATTAATTCTTTTATTCTATAAATTCTTATTTACAAATGTATTTTTGGTCAGAGGGTTCTAGCTGTATCGACAGCATCCAGAAGATTCTTGGCATCCATGGCAAGGACGTGGCCTGCTGACAGCATGCCTTTCTTATAATCTCCATCTAAGGTGGTGGTTGCATACCTCTGTGCTAACTTCATGGCACTGATCAGCTTAGCTAGGTCTGAGCTCAGTACTTTGTGTGCCATCTCAACATTGCGGTGTGCCTGCTCAGGCAAGTCTACAAGCACTGTATCCACACTTGCCAACAAGGTTTTCAGAGACATCCCAATGTCCTATTGAGAAGGATTAAATGATTTTAATCTTGCAAAATCAATTTATAAAAATTTACAGAAATATAAATTAGTAATATAAACGATAATAGAAGCAACTGTAAATTTGATTAACTGTGTTTGGTGCAACTTCAGTTTTAGAGTATTTGCATATTAAACATTAACAGCATTTTTATCCCTTTGCTTTGTATGTTTTTATACTGCCAAATAAACCAAATGAGAATTTTATGTTTGGGTTGCTTTTTTAAAGTAAATTTTGATTGCAATTTCAGAAATGTAGCAAGTCAGTCTACTAAATTATTGGTTTATCAAGAGATAACTTCAATTAATTATTATTGTAATTGTTACTATGGTTATTGTTACTATGGTTATTGTTACTATTACTGTAGTGTTGCTGCTGCAGCTATCGTCAGTGTTGTTGCTGCTGCTGCTGCTGTTAGTGTTGATGTTGCTGCTGCTGCTGTTGTTAGTGTGGTTGATGTTGCTGCTGCTATTGTTAGTGTCGCTGTTGTTGCTGCTGCTGCTGTTGTTAGTGTTGTTCTTGTTGCTGCTGCTGTTGTTAGTGTTGTTCTTGTTGCTGCTGCTATTCTTAGTGTTGTTGTTAGTGTTGTTGTTGCTGCTGCTATTCTTAGTGGTGTTGTTATTGCTGCTGTTGTTGTTAATGTTGACATTGCTGATGCTGTTGTTAGTGTTGTTGTTTTTTGCTGCTGCTATTCTTAGTGTTGTTGATGTTGCTGCTGCTGTTGTTAGTATTGTTGTTGCTGCTGCTATTCTTAGTGTTGTTGTTGTTATTGCTGCTGCTGCTGTTGTTGTTAATGTTGACATTGCTGATGCTGTTGTTAGTGTTGTTGCTGTTGCTATTCTTAGTGTTGTTAGTGTTGATGTTGCTGACGCTGTTGTTAGTGTTGTTGTTGTTGTTGCTGCTGCTATTCTTAGTGTTGTTAGTGTTGATGTTGCTGATGCTGTTGTTAGTATTGTTGTTGCTGCTGCTATTCTTAGTGTTGCTGCTGTTGTTGATGTTTGTTTACAAATATAAGATTAACTTACCTTTACAAGGTCAACATACTGTTCTGCCTTGACACAGTGCACCATATTAGCCATGTCCATAACAGCTTTCACAACATTAGTGGTGTTTTCAAACACATGATCATTGGTTCGGTCTAAATCTAAGGTAGGACCAGTCTAGAAAAAAATCACACAGAGTTATGATAATAGTGGTAGTAAGGGTGTTTGGCCTTACATTACAGGATTCCAGGTTTAATCTGTGTTTACATTTGATTACAAGAAAACTTGTGTCCCTTTATATATTCAACATGTTTACAAATATCTCAGTATCATTTATTCACAAATACTGTAAAACATAAAAAGTGACAAAATAAAATTCCTTGGCAGCCAATTCACAATACAGTAAAACCTCAAATTGTAGCCCTGGGCTTCTTTTTATTACGAACTTTTGATGGGCTTCTTTTCGAGGTGGGCTTCTTTTCAAGATGGGCTTCTTTTCGAGGCTACTTTTGCAAAGTAAAGAGGGGGGCTTCTTTTCAAAATGAATGTTGTAAATTTTGTGAATATCCTATAAAACAATAAATAAGGCCACTGTAATATCAATCTGTATCATGGAGTGGATTTAACTGGCACTGTAAATCACCTAAACTACTGTATAAACCAAGATTGTTTTTAATTTATTTTGTTTTTTTAAATTCATGTACACTACATGTACTGTACTATCTCGAAAAAAAGCCTATGCTATCTTGAAAAGAAGCCCATGGGCTTCATTTCGAGATGGGCTTCTTTTCGAGGCTAATTTTGCATACAAAAGAGGGGGCTTCAATTTGATATGGGCTTCATCTTGAGATTAAGCCCACTGGGCTTCAATTAGAGATTTCACAGTATATAAATTATAGAATTTGCAAACACATCCAGTAAGATGAACTGTTACTGAATAACAACAAAAGCAATCAATTAATAATGAATGTACACTTTATAGTTGTTTAAGCTATTAACAGAGGTGAGTTGATACTGGGACTTATTTACTATTTTTCATAAGAATTTGGGAAAAGATTAAATTAAATAATACATGTAATGTGCCATTTTTAAAAATCAAAGTAACAATGAATGATTATTAGCAACTATAAAGTGATACATACACTAAATGAATTTTAAAACAAAGGAAAAATTAATTAAAAATCAAATAAACCAACCTCAACTTCTATTGGTTGTTGAACATTTCCAGATGCTTGAGCCAATTGTTCTGAGATAAAGAAAAAAAAATATAATAGCATACCTGCAATGCATCATATCACACACCTACAATACATCATATCACACACCTACAATGCATCATATCACACACCTGCAATGCATGATATCACACACCTACAATACATCATATCACACACCCGCAATGCATCATATCACACGCCTGCAATGCATCACATCACATCACACGCCTGCAATGCATCACATCACATACCCGCAATGCATCATATCACACGCCTGCAATGCATCATATCACACGCCCGCAATGCATCATGTTACACACCTGTCAATGTATCATGTCACACAATTATAATGTATCATATCACATACCTGCAATGCATCATATCACACAACTCCAATGCTTCATATCACATACCTACAAGGATCTTAAAACACCTGCAATGCATCATATCACACACCTGGACTGCATCATATCACACGCCTGCAATGCATCATATCACACACACCTGAAATGCATCATATCACACACCTGAAATGCATTATATCACAAATCTGCAATAAATCTTATCAGGTACCAGAAATGCATCATATCACACACACCTGAAATGCATCATATCATACACTTGTAATGCAACATCACACATATTTCTATGAAGCTCTGCCCACACTTTCACTTCCACTGTGGGCATTATGATGTCATACTACACCTAAATATGGTCATACCACAGTTGTCACACATCCAATGTCATTGGTGAACTTACCAGTTTCATTTGAAGGTTCAGATACAGCTTGAGAACTCTGCAATAAAACAAATAATCACATTTTAGACAGAAAATGGTGACATATTCACTAAATAAATGTATACAATACCACTGTAGCACTGTTGTGTCACTTATTTACTTCACCATAAATCCACATTTCATGCCAGCACTTTTTTCCACAGGAGCTGACTTACTTACCCTTAATGTGGTAAGAGTAATTATTGAGACAGGTTTAGAGTTAGGATGCGAGTGCTATAGTAAGAGTGCGAGTTGTTGACTTTTAATGAGATGACAGTAAACACAGAGAGTACTTGGTTGACTTGTAATAACTGGAATCTAGTACTGTAATTACTGACAGTGGCTGGCCAGTATTTACTGAGTGAAGAATGGTTGACTTATCATTAGATGGAAGGACTTTCTAAGAGTGGTTGACTTGTAATTAGATGGAAGGACTTGCTAAGAGCAGTTGACATGTAATAGGAGAAATCTAGTACTGTAGCTACCAATAATGGTTGGCGTGTATTTACTGAGTGAGAGTGGTTGACTTGTAATTTGATAGGGGGACATACTTTTAGAGCGTTGACTTATAATTGGACGGGAGGACTTACTGAGAGCAGTTGGCTGGTAAATGGATTGGGAGTACTTACTGAATGTGGTTGACTTGTGATGGACCTTTTCGCTAAAACGACAGCACTAAAACATACGCAAAAAAAAGTGCGTTGTGGGACAACATGTTTGCTTGTTAGATATGCGCGTATTTCTGGCACTGTTATGATTGGTCAGTCTGATTGACACTCAGAAAAGGTCTATTGGATGGAAGGACTTACTAAGAGTAATTGGATGACTTATTAAAAGTGGTTGACTTGTAATTGAATGGAAGGACTTACTGAGACCAGTCGGGTGATAATTGGAGTAGGCGTACTTACTGAATGTGGTTGGTTTGTTGATACAACATCTGGTATTGATGACTCAGCTTGCTCTGCTAATGTTTCAACTTCAGGTTTCTATAAAATAATGTACAATCTCAGATAAATATTACAAGGCATTGATTCACACATTGCAAATCTGTGAAGATCATTGATTTGTCTGTAAGAGAGGTAGGTTAATTCAGATTTATAATAATCTATTTTGAAATATTACACACTACACAATAGGAAATGCAGTAGGATTCTTACCAAAGTTTCTGCATTTGTTGCCAGCCATTTGGAATCCTCTTCAGATTCTAGTTTCTGCATTCTCAACTGTTCTTCCAGTTGTTCAATTTCAGTCTTTCTTTGCATTTCTTGCATTTTCTCCATTTGTAATTGTTGGTCTTGTCTTTCCTGTTAAAGCCAAATTAAAAACACATTAATACATTATATATATATATATTTCCAGTAACTACAAGTACTATGAATCTCCAGCACCAATGATAACTGAAAGCATATATGCAATAACTCAACCAACAACACCAATCGACCTCTGACACAAAACCACACCTCCACCACAACAGTGCAAATATTACTACAAATGCTCTTACAAAGTTTGCCAATATTTATAATTTTGAAAAATTGTGCATCAACCCTGCTGCATCATCAAATTAGGTGATGATGAAATTCTTGACAATGTTTATAAATGATCCATTGGTTTCATGACGGCATTATTCTCCCTTGCTTTTTAATAAATTGACAAAATGAATGGAAAAAATAAATGAAAATGAATGTCAACAATTTTGTTACCCTCATTCCCAAATTTCCATATGGATGGATGATACTCATGAAATATATGGCAATAAAATACAATAGTATAAAAGCATATTACTGTACTTGTTAACACATGTAAATTACATTACCTGAAGACTCAAAGGCCTCTTTGGTAAATCACTATCTGTTGGTTTCTTTCTGAATTTATGTGGGACGGCATAAGGGCTAGTTGGCTCAAGCGGCAGAGGTGCTACAGGAACTGGAATCATTGGATATGAAGGTCTTGATGGCTAAAACAATTAAAATATACTATATCAGACCCACATTAGAATATGCAGTTCCAATTAGAGGTTCCAAAATCACACAGCAGTAAAGCGCGGAACTGGAAGAGATTCAAAAAAGATCTCATTATGATAAAGCTCATTCCCTAACCATAGGTTGAATCACTTATGATTATAAAAATAGACCATTGCTATACTGCGGTCTAATCAGTTAGCTGGCTATATATTTTAAACCTGCTAGAAAGAGGGCATAATTTTTATATAAATCAATAAATATGGCTATCTTTGATTAATTTCTGTTACATCTAGATTTTTTTTCCTTCTAAAAAGTATACCGTGACCTCAAAATATATGACCCATATATTTAAAATTCATAATAATGAGTCTCTCTACATTAAAAAAGGCTATAAAAACATAATTTTTGTCAGTAATTTTGCAAATAAGTTTTTAATGTGCAAATGTGCCTGACAAAGTTAATGTTTGACACACAAAAAATATGTGCATCTGCTTTAAAAATGTACAGTCGCATAGGCTGATTGTTCAGTTTGACATGGTAGACTGTTTTATTGCAGGGGTGACTAACTTAAAGTCTATCTGAAAATGCTGGCTGTTTAGCCCCTGGAGTTATACATTCTTACTTCTTGGTAAATGTTACAATTCTTGCAGCTGTGTTCTGGACAAGCTGAATGTGATGAAAATGTTTATATGGCAAGGCATGGAAAAGTGCATTACAATTGTAAAGACCAAACTAAGTGACCAGGCTTTTTAGATGGTTCAATAGAAAAATATTTGTGGATGTGCAGGATCTTTCTTTATTGAAAATGGATTTAGCGGTAGGTTTTAGAATCAGCAACGCTTTGCTAAAATAATAGACAAACAACTCAATTATCACTATTAAAGCCATCGCACATGCTTGTACCATGGACTTATTAATAGGTCCGTGCTTGTACCATAGGGATATTTGTACCGAACAAGCTTGTCGGCTATAATACTTCTCAGGTATTTCTAGCAGCAGCATTAGTAGTGATCAGTATGCAGTGCATGTCTAATATCGTGGGAACCTACTTGCAAGAATGTTTCTCACAGATTCACTATTATGCAACTCGCAGTAGGCAAACAATTTTGATCCGATTGAGGGCGCACATACTTACAGTTTTTCTTTAGTTTTCAGAGATTTGTGATTAAAAATATATCTCCATATTTAATTAATTATAATACATCAAAATGCATTGTGATACTGTTAATTATTAGCGAACGTATCTTCACAACAGATTTCTAGAAAGTCATTTTTGCCTGTTTACAAACTTTTGAATCGTAGCGTAACACACACACACAGGCGCACCATGAAGGTATCATATGACATCTAGTCGAATGCAAAGGTTCATATTGTTAATAGGAACCAATAATTGTCGATTTATAGAGCACATATTTTACCTTTATGCGCTTAATATTATAATAATAATTCTGGATTTATATAGCGCCTCACGTTGACACAACCTCGAGGCGCTTAACAACCACAGAGAAGAATAAAAATTAATTAAGTTCAAATTATTACCCCAGGTCATTGCATCAAACACATATGGAACACATACTCCTGGGGGAGGATTCCATTTTGCAGCTGTAATCAGCATTTGAGTACAGGTACCCACTTGTGCCCCTGGATGAAGATAGACAACCATAGGTAAAGTGCCTTGCCCAAGGACACAGGCGAAATACACAGCAAGGGACTGAACGTCCGACCTCAAGGTTAAGTTGCAGAACCGCAACCGCTGAGCTATTAAACCGCTCCAACTTTAAACTCTAAACTCAAACTGATTACTAAAAACTACGATAATGAGTAGTAGGTTTTACATATATGCAGAGTAAACTCGAAGTGATTATTAAAATCTACACCAATGTTTCTACATCAAAGATTAATACACATTTAATATGTTTTTCCTCAATAAAAATTTTTTTAAATGCATTAAAAACACTAAAATTCTTATTCGATGTTGAAATTTCTGTAAAGACTCATTACCTTAGGTGGTGGTTCATCAGCTACCACTAGCCCCAATGCAACTAAATCCTGTCTTCTCTTCTCCTGCCGATGTATAGTGTCTTGTGCTTTATCTTCCTCATCTCGTATTTCACTATATAAAACAAAAGTGAAAGCAATGTATAACATGCAAAATTTATAACTTTCAAAATTAGTTGAGAAACTCTATTTATTAGCTTTGTGTATATAGTTTTTTGTATATAGTCTACAAGTTGTACACGGAAGCTTGTGTCGTTAAATATCTCAATTAGTCTCTGAAGAACTACTCTTGCATTAAAATTGGCCATTAAACGAATATACAGTAAAGTGATATATTACAATCATTATACATGTGGGGCGGATGCAGGATTTAGCGGTAGGGTGCGTGACAGTCTACACAATTTGAGAATATGGACCTTTAGGTGCCCGGAAATTGCACTTTCATACCTTAAAATTCTTACCGGTATACCTACAATACTATACAATTAGGGGGTAAGATCGAATCGTTAATTAAACGGGTAATTAAACTTTTATGTTATCACAATTAGTCTTTCCTACAGCATTTCAAACTAGCTCCAGCTAGATTAAATGCAAAAATTACTGTACAAGGCATGAACATTTTTTCCCTCAACCTATGAAATTAAACAAGGTTGACGAACTCAAAATGAAGAAACCTCTGTGGGGTTGCATTATATAGCCATACGATAAGAACACTACACATCACCCTAACTATTGCTGGTTCCAGTCATAGCAGCATCAGGTTTTTAATTTTTTTTTTAAACTTCATAATCTTTTTTTATATATGATTTTTGTTTTTTAATTTCTAATTTCTCATTATTACGGGAATCAGGAAAAGCCTTATGTTCTGTTTCACAAACAGGCAGTAGATAGTCTAGTTTCTTTGTTTATTGTTTTGATAAGCAATTTTTACAGACCTGTTTTCTATTCTCTTGTTTTTCTATTTCGTCTGTATATTGTGGTAATTTCCTTTATATGGAAATCATAAGTATTGTACCTAATGCTAATTTTCATTACCTCAATTAGAAATATTATTTCTAAAACAACACAGGATAGTATATTATGCCTGTGTCAGAATCTTCAAAAAGATGCTCAAATGTCATCATTTTTATCATGCATTCACTGAAACATAATTCATAATACTCATGTACACTAAAATGCTCTTAGTTGCACATGAATTCCTCCAGACCTATAATAAACTAGAGAAAAGCCTACACCCCTTCAGTATATGTGTACTACCATTACTTTTATTAGGCCAAATAAAAAAAATTTTTGTGTTGGCCACGCCCGACTGACCCAAATTTTACAAAATTTAGGGTCGGCATTTTAGCTTTTTTTTTTTTTTTGACTACAAGGAATAATATTTTTTTTTTTTCATGAGCTTATAAGGCTGGAATAGCCTTGAACTAGGAGAGGGGGCCAAATCCTAGCCTATTTTGGTGCATGGTACAGGTATGCGATGCAAATCGGAAATTTTTGTATTTTTTGTGTATTTTCTACTTTTTAAGCGTAAACACATCGTTGGTTTAAAAAAAAGTTTTCCTACCGACCTACCCATTTTTTGGATTTTCCCAAAGGGTGGCCAACACAAAAAATCTTTTATTTTGGCCTTAGATACATGAAGATTTACAACAAATTCATCAGACAAAATGACATAATTTAACAAGAGATAAGAAAGTATAATACATACTCCAACTATTGAAATACACGCCATCGTGTTGGGATTCAATATTTCGACATTAATTATGTCATCATCATTTGATGATGACATAATTAATGTCGAAATATTGAATCCCAACACGATGGCGTGTATTTCAATAGTTGGAGTATGTATTATACTTTCTTATCTGAGATTAATCAGTGGACCTTTCGGTTTTAACAAGAGATAGTACAGTAAACAAGGCTATTTGATGATTTTGAAACTGTAATTATATTACTATTACTATGATTATTAACAATAATTAGTAATTGTTGTTACGAGTGAACTTTTGTCATACTTATTGTTATTCCTATGTATGTGATACATTTTCACTGATGATGGTAGTAGACCTACTGAAACATGCAATAAATATAGGCACTAGCCTATGATGAAGTTTTAAGCTCTTGTTTTTTTTTATAAAATGTAATTATATTTATTGTATTTAGACTTTTTATTTTGACACTGAAATTTTAAAGGATATTGGTCTTTAGTTGAGCAGCAATAGAAATATTGAATTGGACCACATTTGAATAATAGTGACGGCAAATTCAATAATGACATAATAATCCAACAACAATAATAATAATACGACGGTCTTATATATAGCGCTTTATGCATAAAGTCTCTAAGCGCTTTACATTATAAACCCGGTCATTGGATCAAACACGTATGGAACACATACTCAGCTCCCTGGGGAGAATTTCATAATATTGCAGATAGTAATAAGCGCATTTGTGTTCGAACCTACCACGTACCCACTTGTACTCCTGGGTGGAGAGAGGCAACCGTACATAAAATGCCAAAGGACACAAGCGATTTGCACAGCGAGAATTTCGAACCCCTGACCTTAAGGTTGGGAGTCCAAGCCACAACCGATGCGCCAATCACTTCTACATAATAAGAGGGAAGAAAACCCAAAAAAATCCAAATCAAAAAATGTTATCTGGGCAATTCCATAATTAGGTAGACATGACCTAAAAATTAAAATTTATTTTTTTCTCAATTATTTTGGTTTTATATGACTAAAAACATATCAGCACTTATGGAAAACACAATAATCAGGATGCATTTTCAGTACATGTGGGGTAAAATCTCATATATATGTCAACAGTGTTTTAATTGAAAATTTTCAATGTAAATCATGAAATTTTTTTAACTAGCCCAAGTATGGATTAAGGATTGCTTTATCCATGCAATTTTATCATATTTATTTATTGAGTTACACCCTTTCACAAATTTGTTACCCAAAATTATGTTTTGAAAATAGATTCAGGCTACAAAGTTTGAACTTTGACATCCTTTAGGGGTCATGTAACGTTACTAACCAAAAACACAAGATTAGGCCAAGTAAAAAAAATAATTGGTTAGCATTCTTTTGGTATCAAATTTCATGGTAGGGAGGGATGTTGTTTTTTTTTTTGTTTTTTTTTCTCGTCCAACATGAAAAACCAGCGTCGGAAGGAAAATTAGCAAAACAAAGAAGAGGAAAACAACAGAGGCCAAAATTGGATACAATAAATCATGTAATTTATCTATAGCAAGCAGATAAGCTTTGCCTATATGAATAACAGTCATATTGAAATCCCTATATATGAAGTTTTAAAACATGCAACATTGTATATGTTTACAGAACTGATGATATCGATAACAGGTTTATAAAGCATTCCATCCTAAGTGGCGAGTGTAATTGCTGTTTGGATGTGAAATTAAAAATAAAAATAACAACAGCAAAATAAGAAGATTGAAGTTTTTCATAGTCGTATAATAATTCATTGTCCATTCATAAACAGAAACGTAATTTTTGAACTGGCATTTTGTACAATTGATTACTATTTGTGATTGAGTATGTACCTATAGTGATAATACTGGTATCATGTGCTATGTTTATGCTGAGAAACACTTTGACATCTAGTTGGACCAGCTGTTTGGAAACATCACGTCACCAGCATGTGAATATTCCATGCTTTGTGTTTAAGTTTGTGTTTGCTTGACATTAATTATAACTGGACCATACTGGGTTTGTTGTTGGAACAACACAACAGTCATCATTGATGCCACGCAGGGTTTTCGTCAGAAAAACAAAATAGACGGCCTATTTTGTTTTTCCAAAATGGAAGCCAGTGGGCGTGGCACTGAGCCGATGGCGGGTCACGTCCATCGTATAGTAATCCCCATCGATTATTGGTACAAAAATGTACATTCAATCAATAAATGTTTTTATCAAACATAAATATGATTTACCTTTAGTTTAATGTAACATTCGATAGATTTGAAGAATATATAAAGAATTTGCTAAAGGTAGACCAGGCCCAATTAGGCTAGGCCGAGCTGATTAGGCCAA